GATTCACAGCAGCCCAGCTGCAGGCTGAGCTGTTGTTCAGCATCTTAACTGTGGAGGGCAGTGTCACTGGCCCTCATATGTGGGATCCAAACCAGGGCCCTCTGGCATCCCAAGCCAGTTCTTAACCAACGTGCCACTCGGCCGGCCCTAAACTACATATTTTTAAAGTTATATTTACATCTTCTTCCCTCAACCCCAACACCATTATTAAAGCAAAAATGAAGTGTTCCAAGTGGATGGAAATGGTACAAATTCTGGAGAGATGGCACTGAATTACAATTATGAATTTCAAGCTTTTAAATTAATTTCTTTTTTGGCAGGAGGGCGGCACCATAGCAGAGAAACTTATCTTGGAAGTCATGGCTGTCAGTTGTCAAGGGCAAGAACTCAAGAAAGAAAAATATCTTTGTTGTTTTGGTTTTGCTTGTTTTGTATCTCAAAGACTAATGTTAAATAGCTAAGAGAATAATAGTACAGAGCTTCTGCAGTCACCTGGAGAGTGGGGGAAACTCACAATGGCAAGAGAGCCATGTTTCTGATCACAAGCAGTAAGGGCTCAACCTGAGACAGGCAGTGTGAGGAGGATTTAAAGATTAGTGAATCAAAGGAAACTGGTAGCCCTTCCTCTGGGTAGCATCCTGGATTCAGGTGAGGCTGCTGCAAAACCACACAGCTCCCAAAAGCAAGTTCAGATAAGTTTGAAGAGCTCCCAGAACAGAAAAAAATGACAGCTTACCTTGAAAAGGTGTAGCCTGGGAGACTAATAGAGCTTCACAGAAGAATCAACATGGAAACCCTCAAAACAGTAATGTATTCCTTTTATCAGGGTGCCTAAACAAAGTGCCACACATTGGTGGCTTAAAACAACAAAAATTTCTTCTCTCATAGCTCTGGAGTCGAGAAATCTAAAATCATGGTATTGGCAGGGCTGTGCTCCCTATGATGCTCTGGGGGAGGGTCCTCCCTTGCTCTTCCAGCTTCTAATGACCCCAGGCATCCCTTGGTTTGTGACAACAGAACTCCAATCTCTGCCTCTGTCTTCTCATGGTCATCTTTTATTTATGCCTATGTCCAAATTTCCTTTTTCTTGCAAGGACACCAGTCATATTGCATTCAGGGCCCATCCTACTCCAATATGATCTCATCTTAACTAACTACTTCTGCAATGGCTCTATTTACAAATAATGTCATTCTGTGGTTCTAAGGCTTAGGACCTCAATATATCTTTGGGGGTGGGGAGGGGGAGGACACAACTCAACCCATAATAAGTAACAATAGCTAAAGGATGTGTGTTGGCTAAAATGTCTGATGGAAGCCCACTTAGCCTATAACTATAAACAGTGCAGAGCAAATGGCCAAGAATTCACGAGGCCAAGAAAGAAGCTCGTCAGTATCTGAAAATGCTAGTGGAGACTAGTGGCCTAGCAGTTGAGACAAAAAGGGTTCATAACCAACTAACGTGAAAATTGGAGCCAATGAAAAGTCTAAGGACTCATCAAGCAGAGAGGCAAAAGTGATACAACCTAATATCTAAGACCAGAGGGTTGAGTTTTTACCCCCTTCTGGTTAAGACAGGGAACCAGATATACTTCACTCAACACCAGGTGAATAGGCAAGTATCTGAGAAGATTTAAACATCCCCAAAGCAAAATTTACCCTAGGAAGTAGCAAGATGCAGAGGTGAGATGCCAAGGATGACTCACATCTTCCGAAAGTAGTATAAAAATGCTTTGAGAGAGAATTAGGATACTGGCTAAGTGCTATAACTAGTGAAACCCCCAAATACAGTGACTTAATAAGATAGGATTTTATTTATTTTTCAGGCAACAGTGTGAATTAAGGATTAGGGTAAGGCAATTAGACCCTCAATGTGTGGCTTTCATGTCTAGAGCAACCATTTTAGTGGCAACATTTTTGAGTGGGAAGTGGGAGGAAAAGTCCAGGTCTAGTGCCTTTGACCTTGAGGAGATGACCCTTAGGATGTATACATAACTTTTTACTGACAGCTCATTGCCAAAACTTCATAACAAGGTTATATACCCAGCCGATAAGGGAAGATGGAAACTGTGGTTAATAGCTGGATGGCTAGTGTTTTATTTCTAAAAGGAAAAATGAAATAGTAGGCATATCTCTGTATATGGATCACAGAAAATATGGTCATAGAATGTCAGGTTATGATGTCAATCTCTGTGAAAGTGGTTGTCCCTTGAGCAGTCCTACTTTTTGTACTTGACACTAACTCTTTAGAAGCAAATTTGAGTGGTTTAACAACATTAAAAAAAGAATTGTCAACATAGTTTCCAATACCAACTAATGGTATTCCTTCCCCTTGATCAGAATCTAAAGTTATGAAAGAAAACTCTCCTCCCCCACCACCTGCCTTTCCTCAGATCCATTTTAAGGAAAAGTGGCCCATGGTTAATTAGTACATTAGCCTGAGTAACAATACTCTCTATCTTTGAATTAGTCCCTCTTACCAGCTATATGATGCTTCTCAGAGTAATCCTACACATACTCAATTGTGCACCCCTTTTAATTGGGTTAGCTCTTACATAAGAATAAACTCATGCATAAGGAATCACTGCTACTTCCCATTTGCTTTCATGCTGGTAACTTAGCAAGAGTCAACAAAGGTAAACAAATGTGTATTGTACCTGTACCAAGAATGAAATGCTGACCAACTAGGTTGCAGAGGCACAAATCTGGATGAGCAGAACAGTGAGATTTTAAGGATTTTTAACCAAACCCAATGGGATACCATTTTGAACTGTATTGATCAAATCTGAATGCATACACAGTGCAACAGCATTTAGTGGAACAGTGTTTCTTATCTGGTTGACCCACCCTAGACACTGAAAGCTTGATGTAAGCTGCTAAATATAGAACCAAAACATTTAATGTTAGTAGGAAGAACTGGAATCAAGCAGTAGTCTCAAATCATATCAACCAAAGGTTTAAAAAGAACAAAGTACTATGGCCAAAGATTGGCTTTTTCATATCTGAAAATTCAGACTGGTTCATTTTTTTTCATTATGATGAACGCAGGAAAGTCTTTAGTCATAAATATTTCACCCTGTTAATATCAGGATAGTTATACCAGAATCCAAACCAAGGAGTAGAATTAGGGTAATGAAACAGATTATTGAACCCAAACATTGTCAACTATCAAACCATACATACTGAGGACAAACCTTAGTATTGTATTGAGATACTAGGTGAAGATTCTGAATACAATTTCATTGTCAAAATTCCATGTATGTGTATGAATATTACAGAATACTTTTCTGGTAAATAGTTTCCATCAACATCCTGTAGTCATGGAAAAGAGATGAATTCTTACCCTTTTTCTCATGAAATGATATATTTCATATAAAACCTAGGTGAAGGATCATGTGTATATGGAAAACATTCTAGGAAATCATGTTTGACCTTAAGAAGGGTACCTCCAAATTAACATGTATTTATCCAAACTTATTTATGAATCCTTCCAATGACTATACTTAGCACAGTATTATTGGGTTGTCAGAAAAGTCATGATGCATGTTTGCGACAGATGGCACTAGTTTATTTTTGGAATACTAGAGTCACTCACATCTATGCTATTGCTATGTCATTTGACAGCTGACAGTTCTAGCTTCATTCAAAAAAAATTGAGCGATTTGGTTGAGTTTTGGAGATTTTACAATAAGTTGAAGATGGAAGACCAAACTGTGCATTTTTGCCATATTTTACTGTTTTACTTCCATAAAGGGGAGAACGCATGTCAAGCTTGTGAAAAGTTGCATAAAGTTTATGGTGACAACACTCTACAAGAACATCAGTGCCAACGATGGTTCATGAAATTCTGTGCTGGTGATTTTGATCTCAACGATGCTCCTTGGTCAGGGAGGCCCACCAACAGTGATGACAACAAAATAAAGGCATTGATCGAGTCAAACCCACATTACATGACATGAGAGATTGCAGAAACATTGAACATCTATCATTCAAGCATTCATGACCACCTAAAGAAGCTGGGATACGTACATAAGCTCAATATTTGGGTTCCGCATGAACTCAAATAAGTTCATTCGATGGCGTGTATAAACATCTACGATATGCTCATTAAACATGAGAAAAACAATCCTTTTTTTAAGCGACTGATAACTGGTGATGAGAAGTGGATTGTTTCCAACAATGTGGTACACAAACGGTCTTGATCCCGATGTGATGATTCGCCTCAAACACATTGAAAGCCAACATTCATCAGAGGAAGGTTATGCTCTCAGTGTGGTGGGATTTTAAAGGTATCATGTTTTTTGAGCCACTACCAAGGAACCAAACAATTAATTCAAAAGTGTACAGTCAGTAATTGGACAGTGTGAATGAATCCATCATCCAGGAACGTAAAGGAGTTGTGTTCCATCGCGACAACGCGAGACCACACACAAGTTTGATCATCCATCAAAAATGATTAGAGCTTGAATGGGATGTGTTGCCACACCCACCATACTCGCCTGACCTTGCGCCATCAGACTTCCACTTGTCTCGCACTCTTCAAAGCTCCTTGCATAGTATAACATTCAATTCAGACGAGGCTGTAAATCAGCACCTTGTTCAGTTTTTTGCAAATAAAGACAGGTCTTTCTAATAACGAGGAATTATGAAGCTCACTGAAAAATGGCAAAAGGTTATCAAACAAAACAGGCAATATATCATTGATTGATCTTTGTTCTTTATATAAATAAATGACCTTTGAAAAACATAGACAAAGTACGTCACAACTTTTCCGACAACCCAATATATGCACTGTGAACGGCATTAATATTTCAGTTTTAATAATATGGTTGCATATGTAGGATAAAGCAGGCTTAGTCATTAGAGCCCATTCAGGGGTAACGCATCATCGTGTTAGATTGGATCTTTTATTGTATTTAAGAGTTGCCTTTAGAAAATCCTTTTGGAGCTAGGACTTTTATGCCTGGACATTCATAATAGGTAGCAACACACCACAAAAATATCTATTGTAGTTTCAAGTTTGCCTTACTGATTGCTTTGTTGACTGCCTCTTTCACATCCTTGTTTCTCAAACTGTAGATCATGGGGTTCAGCATGGGGATCACCGTGGTGTAAAACACGGCCACCATTTTCCCCTGCTCCACGGACTCTTCAGTGGGCCGCCTGAGATACATGAATATAAGAGTCCCATAAAACATGGTAACAGCTGTCAAGTGGGATCCGCATGTAGAGAACGCCTTCTTCCTCCCGTCAGCAGAGTGCATGCGTAGCACAGCTACTACAATGAGCGTATAGGAGATGAGAACCACTGAGAGGGAATATGTGAAGTTAATTCCAGCGATAACAATCATTGTGTATTCTTTGATGTGGACTCCCCCACAGGCAATCTTGATGAGAGGAGGGTCTGCACAATAGAAATGGTTGATTTCAACGTTTCCACAGAAGTACAAGCCATACGTCCATAGTGTGCATATTAGACTAACAGAGAATCCATAGACATAAGGCACAGAGATGAGCCGAACACAGACAATCCGGGACATTTTACTGCCATAAAGCAAAGGGTTACAGATGGCCATGTAGCGATCAAAGGCCATCACTGCCAAGATATAGACCTCCACGTGGACAAGGGCAATGAAAAAGTAACATTGCACCAAACACCCCACATAGGAAATGGTTTTTGTCTCTGATAATAAGTTTTCTAGCATTTTGGGGGTGACATTGGAAGAGAACCACACATCCACAAAAGACAAATGACTCAAGAAAAAGTACATAGGGCTCTGAAGCTGGGGACTGATACCGATCAAAATAATGATACCAATGTTCCCTAACAGAGTTATTATATAAACTATTAGAAACACCCCAAAAAAGAGAACTTGAAGCTCCTGACGACTGGTCAACCCCAGAAGAATAAATTCTTTCACATCTGTGAAATTTGACATTTTCTTTACATATAGATGCAGTCTGTATGGCCTATGGAGAAATAAAAAACATTAATAGATTTGGTTTACTCTTGAAAATTTTGAGTCACATTTACCCTTATTCAAATAATTTAAAAATCAATTAAGATTTTGCACAATGTCCAAGATAAGAATATAGGCATAATTGTTTACTTTAATAGATCTTAAAAGTAGTTACCTTCAATATTTATCAGTTTATTAATGTAATAGTGGCAATTACATTCATTGCTAACATATATTATTAAAATTAGACATTTATATTTTGCTAGATTATGACACTAATGTTAAAATCACAGGGCACAAATATAACTAAAGTCCAACTAAGAGTTGTCAAAGAATGGCTAACTCCAATCCAACATGGGCTGATTTACCAAAAAAAGTATTCTATAATATTCATACACACATAGATTTTTGAAAATAAAATTGTTTTCAGAATCTTACCTAACGTCTTAATACATTGGTGTTACAATCTAGTCATGGATATATTTGTCCTACATTATGCCAGCATATAATAGCATATGCTTTCAACGTATGAAATTTCTAATCACATTTCATTTATTTAGATAACATCATGCTTGTTTGATTGCCACCACTTGCAGAGGTGAGGTTAGAGGGATTTAGACTCAGTTTTACAGTTATCTCAAAAAAGTAAACTACAAGTGGTTTAATCACCTAGCACCCACTATCAAAATCATGTCAATAGATAAATAAGATGAGGTAAAGTTTAAACAACACAGTATACCTAAAATAGTTTCATGACTAGTGTGTCTCATTTCAGAGTCCACTGGTTTTCAGAACCAATCAATTCTATGCTTTTTTATTCATATTCAAATTTAATGTCACTGGAAGGAAAAGGTTCCCAAACAATATTTTTCTCTTTTACTATACTTCTCTAGTTTATTTCTTCCAAAGAGTAAAAATTTGCCATGAGTTCTTGAGGATGTATCTATAGGATTAGCAGAAACTTGGGAATTTAAGCTCTCCATAATAGTAGTGTTTAAAGGGTAGATTACTGACTTATAAATGGACCTTTGTTTATAATTGCTTACATTAATTATTTTACAAACACAAAACCAATTATATGTCAGATGTATTGGTTACATGTAGAAGTATTCTAAATTCTGGAAATACAAGGGTGAACAAAATATACAAGATTCTGGCTTGCATTATATTTTATTCTTGTTGAAAAGGAATAAGTAATAAACAAATATACAAGTGAGATAATTTAGGGATTGAAATTACTGTGACAAAATAACAGCATGCTAGTAAGATAAGAAATAAGGGGAGGTAGAGTGCAAACACAGTGACAAAAATGCTCTCTCTGAGGAGGTGACTTCTGAGGCAGTGAGAAGTAGCTGGATGTGTAGAAATATGAAAGAAGGCGATGCAAATCTAGAAGCTTACAAGAGGAAATATTAGCTTTGGTATGTTGAAAAAGGGTATTGCTAGAGACATTCCTTTATATATTGAAAAATGGATGAACTCTATGATTATATCATGGCCCCATCCAATTAGTTGCAGGGCACACTAGAAAAATTAATTAATTCTAAGAACTATTTTCTTACCTTTAAAATTCTTAATACAGGAATTAGATATATAAAATGAATTGGGCACAGACCACAGCAGGCACTGAAGTTTTAGTTTTGATCTAAGTTTTTCCTTAACTATAGATTTCATGATTGTAGCTCATCTGTTTTAGCTTTACTATTATTATTTTTATTATTATTATTACTCAAAAATCTGAAAACATTTATCTGTAAAGATATATGCATCCCTATGTTTATTGCAGCATTATTCACGGTGGCCAAGGCATGGAAACCACCAATGTTTTGGTTCCTTTTAAGTGTGGAAATAGCCAGATGAGAGCTGCAGACTCTGGTTGGGAAGTAGAGTTAAGATCATGGATTTCCCTATGTAAAAACTCCTGACCCCACTTGAACCTGCAATTCTCCAATTAACAGAGTTTGACTTGGTTTTATGGCATGACTACATTTTGTAAGTATAAAACATAAAAAAGATCAAAATATCTAAGAAAAATACACTGATGCTACTTCTACAATTCTGTTTCAATCCTTGTACCATGTGTGTATTTCTCTTCCTCTGCACATAATCAGTAGCTCTGTAGCAGTAGTTTGTCTCATTCATCTTGGAACTCTTTTAAACACCTAGCTTAGATGTTACATATAACTGATATTCAGGAATACTCACACATATGCTTTTTTAAGAAAGTGTCTTCATCTCTAGATCAGCTTCATATAATATATTCCAATATTCCAGTACTATCAAAACTCTCTAAGAAAGATTGTTCTGGTAACAACCATCTCATTTTATAATATTAGTAAGAATAGTTACATTTATTGAATGCTTATGAAACCTTTTGCATGCAAAGGTTATGAAACAAGTGCTATTAGCACCATCACTTTATAAATGAGGAAACTCAAGCACTGAAAAACTGAAAAGGTCTCTGTGGGTCAAGCATCTACCAATTGACCTGACTGGGAAGCAAGCCAATTAATTTAACTTCAGTGTTGTACCCTGAATAAATTGCTATCTCTTTAATAAACTATTATTTTATTTCTTGACATTTAAAATTTAGTTTGATTATCCTCCAAGACAGTACAAAATTATCCTTTTACAATTTCATCCTTGATGAACTAGAGGAGCTACGTGTGACTCTAGGGCAGGCTGAACTATGGCGATAGTAGACTACAACCTCTCCCTCCCCTTCCAAGGTTAAGTGATCTCATAGACCGAGGACCAGATGACCAAGTGAGTCCTGAGTCAGAGCCCATTTATCACACAGGTGTGCATCATCTATCAAAGCACATGATATAATTTATAAGTAAAAAAACAAATTCATTTTTATTAATGTTTCAGGAATTTCCCATGAAATAAAACAGTAAAGGTATAATTACTGGTCCAGTCATTCCCACTGACACAATATCCTCAACTCTATGCACATAGATTTTAAAACAACAATATGCAAATCAATAGAATTTGTAGAGAAGAATGAAAGGGTGAAAAATGAGAAATAAAAAAATTGTAAACCCCCACTATACCAAGTTCATTCTTAAGATGTTTTGAATAAACTCTGGGTAGAAATAAGAGTATTTCCCAGGAACATAATTTCACACAGTAAAACTCTGGAATAACAAATAAGTCTACAAATAAGACCTCATTCTTTTCTTCAAAATAGGGATGAAAAATGAAAGATTTGACTGTGTTAATATGTACTGCAGAGCATATAATTAATAGACCTACCGTCAGCAGAGGAAAACAACTGATGATAATTTCTCACTACTTATAATAGAATTTGAAATACTGAGAGCATCTCCCCAAGGAACTATCTAGGTAATTATGAAAGGAATAATGATTACAATTCCAGAAACATCTCAGGGGTAGGAAAAGTTACAGTGTGTTAACTGGAAGAATAATTCTTTAATAAAATTAAGAAATCAAAACTGTTGATATCATTGTATGATCTCTCTCACCTTCACATGAGTCCTGCCCTCTTTCATTCACACTTGGCAATTTTGCATATCAAAATTTCTCTTGGTTTGCATTATCTAAAATTGCAGTGCTTTCTTTTCTGTTGTGCTACAGTATGAGTTTAGGCTTTTATGGGTGTCAATAGAGCATCACCTCTGAAGTCAGACAGGTCAGGAAACAAACTTGGCTCAGTACTTTAACTACATTACTTTGGTACATAACAATTCTCAGCCTCAATACTCATTTGCAGAATGGGAACTACTATCTTATGGTGTGATAATCTCAGATGATATAGGAATAACCCTCGGCACAATGCCTGTTTCATACGACACAGTAAAAAAAATGAAATTATCTGGGCAGTTTCACCTCTAAGCAGTTAACAAGTATGCTCTTACCACGTCTATTCGGTTGTGACTCATAGTACCCCTATGTTGAAGGATAAAAACATGCATATGTAAAATAACTATGAGGTTAACTTTTTCTACCAACTTTCGATAACCAGCAGGTTAAAGATCCAGGATGCCAACCTAAGTTGTTCATAAGCTCTAAACTATATACTCTCTCAATTTAGTGTGAAAAATTATAGGTAGAATTATGCAGGCAAAGTTTTTTCTTTGGTGCCCAAGTACCCTAGACTCCTGAGTTTCTTCTCACTTATTATGGAGAAAATAAATCAAATGAATTTTTTTGACACCAAGTTATTATGAGGTAATAATAACCCTCTCTCAAGAAAATGCAGATTTGAAAAGAAGAAAGCACATGCACAAGTGTGTGTGTGTGTGTGTGTGTGTGTGTGTGTGTGTTAGAGAGGAAGAGAGCAAGAAAGAGAGTGACAAAGAGAGATAAATACACTTTGTGTTGGAAACGCTTAAGTAAAACGAAGTTGATCAATATAGAAATAAATGTAACCATAAAATCTATTTTTTAAAGTATTTTACAGAAATATCCTGAATTTTCAGCAAATGGAAAAAAAATTGCTTTAAGTTCTGCCCAATCATGGAAATTATGAGCCAGAAGAAGCATTGGAGATAAAAAACTACAACCTAAAAATTAACAAAATGAATAACAAAATGTGACTTTCCCAAGGTCACACACAAATTAATTTGAAATTTAGAAATTCAGACCATAAACATGATTTAACCATTGACCTTGGCATCAGCATTCTTCATGTAACACTAAACCAACTCTCCAAAAAAGTATGTTAGAAAAGCATTTCACCTTTGGGAAAAAATAAAAGAGGTAACGAAGGTCACCCAAGTAAACACACCTGCTAAAAGTTTAAAAGTATTAAAATGATTTAAAATCATATCTTGAACTATGGCATAATTTGGCATATCAAGAGTTTTCTAATAAATGGTAAATAAATAGGTTTATTACCAAAAGAATTTTACACTTAACTCACCCCAAAGGCAACCATAAGTAAAACCATAAGTAAAAAAAAATTTGGCATATCAAGAGTTTTCTAATAAATGGTAAATAAATGGGTTTATTACCAA